AGCTTGCTCCGCATCCTAAACTACTCGGGTTTTCTTTTTCTTTGGTAGAGTTCCGCTTTTTGGCGGAAGCGTGCTTGTATCTAGGCAATCTATCACAGTCCGAGGATCCTGTAGTGGACCTCTGGTTGACCTGTGAGACCAGCCCCTTGGCTTGTTTTCACAGGCTTGTGTTGTATTCGGGGTAGTCCAGTCCAGGCCGGTACCTTTGTCGGTTCCAGCCAGTCCAGTCCAGTCAGTCCGCTGGGGTATACCCCAGCCAGAGTCTGTATTTCGGATCATTTTGCATTCGCACAATTTGGAGTACGTGCGTTGGAGTCTCGCGTGGGAGCTGTGTTATGCCATCTTGCTCCACTCTCATCCTTCATCTCCATCTCTATCCCAGGCGGAGCACCACACCTGGTGGGTCCGCCACACCTGCCCACCATAGGGCTGCCACAGTATCCTCACGCACCCAAACTCTCTCCGTCCCGAGAGAAAGAGTAGCACCCATCCCACATCAACTCTCCGGGAGGAAAGGCACACGTTTCCACCCAAATCCGTCCAGAGATCATCCTTAGCTGATATGACAAACAATATAGTATATAGACATGATGAGGTATTTGATTTGATGCAACTATGGAAAGACCTTTCATAGTTGAAACCGATGTTGGACCAACCACCTTGGGAGGTGTCTTGATTCAGACAGACAGTAGCGGGAACTTGAAGGAAAGACCTTTGAGATTCGAAAGTTGAACGCTCAATTCAACGGAACGGAACTACTCACAGTTCAAAAGGGAAGCCTTGGCAGTCCTGCACTGCCTAAGAATTTTTAGGCATTACCTTTTTGGAAGGAGGTTTATCCTCAGAATTGACCCAATGACGCTCATGTATTCTCTCAAGAATTTTTCGCCATCAGACCCGACCATAGCCAGTGACTTACCTATATATGGATGTTTGATTTTCAGTTGGAACGTATCTTAGGAAACAGGAATAAGGTTGATGACATGAGTAGAATTGAATGGGGAGATAGAGCAGGGTCAGAACAGGAGACACCTCTGGTAGACGGATTTTTGGAAGAAGGGGATGATATGCGTACTCATGTTAACTGTTGGACTATGTTCGTTGAAAGTAAGGCAATGAGGAGAGGAAATCCGATGTGGCATCCGCCTCCTGAGTTTATGAGGAAACTTGCCTTGATACTTACGCCGATAGTAGAGGAGGACTCATGGGGAGAAATAAATGCGGAATGGATAATGAAGTTGGCCTTAGCTGAGAACTATAGAGTGATCGATGAACCACGAACGGTCGAGGAAGGAGTCCGACAAGCAGACGAACAAGTAGCCATGATGGGTAGAATGTACTACTTGACGAATTCTCTCTTACAAGTCCAATCGAATGATGAGGGGAATATGACGAGAGCTGATAAAATAATAATTGGGGATGATTATGAATTTGATGAGGAGAAAGAGGAGGAATTTGAGTAGGGAAAAATTTCAGAAGATTTCCGAAGGGAGTAGTATGATGGGTTCTACCTAGAAAATGGGGTTGCTCCTTTCAGGAGACAAAAAAAAGAGAGAAGTTAATGAGAAGACTCTTCGGATGCGGGATTATTATGTAGTAAGAGGTGATCATTTATTCATAGGAGATAAGAGGGGGCCGTCGCGGTGAGTGGTATGCGGAAAGAGTCGTCAGATTGATGTCATAGCTGCGCTTCATGACGGGATAGTTGGGGGAATATAAGGAGCCTCTGCATCCCAGGTACATCAAAGATGTGGGGGCAGTTGTTCATTTGGACCTATTGACCATGCTGCAGGGGGTTCGGCGGATATAATTATATATTTGACTTCAGGGACAACCTTACCGGATTTGTCGATGGCAAGGCCATTAGGAACAAAACTGGGATGACGCTGGCGGAGTGCATTAAGGGATACTACCTCAGGTATCCGTTCGTATTGGAATTCACAATGGATAGGGAGTCTGAGTTTACGTGTGGGGAGGTGAAAGAACTGTTAAAACAACTGGGAGTAGTAGGTAACTACACGACTCGGGCTCACCCACAGGCAAATACGCCAATTGAAAGAGGTCATAGTACAATTACAAACTTGCTAGCCAAGTGGACCAATGGGAAGCCGGATCTCTGGCCAAAATTTTCGAGGACGGTATTCTTTGTGAAAAATGTCACTGTCAAGAGGACGATGGGGTATGCACCTGCGACCCTCTGGTATGGTCGGCACGCCACGTTCCCAGTAGAGAGCTTTCTAAAGACGTGGCGCAGACAAAACTTTGAGAACGACCAGACATTTGAAGAATTATTAGACCTTAGGGCGAGACAAATCAGCGCCACAGAGGAAAAAATCCAGGAAGCAGCCACGAGGGTGGCAGACAGTCGTGGAAAGGACAAGGAAAGATAGGACAAACTCCCCAGAGTGAGGATGGAACCACTACAAGTTGGGGATGCCGTGCTACTCGATGGTTTTTCCCTGGAAAAGCAGTGGTCACGAAAATTGGACAAACGATGACTAGGACCTTTCAGGGTCAGACGACAAGGTCTCCATAGGGTCTATGAGTTGGAAGAAATGGACGGGACTCCAAGGAAAGACCGGGTTTCAGGGTCCAAACTGAAGAAATTCGAGATCAGAGAAGAGGTGAGCACTAGTTAATAAACGAACTTAAGTAAGCAAGTGTACGCATATATGTGTATATATATATACATACATGTATATATCGTATATATAGCTATATACAGGGCAACCGGCGTTCGGGACGGGACGAACGCCCGAACCCGAACGCCCGAACGTATGGGACCCCTTGGGGATGCGTTCGGCCGTTCGGGCCGAACGCGGACCCAAAAAAAAAAAAAAAAAAAAAAAAAAAAAAAAAAAAAAAAAAAAAAAAAAAAAAAAATAATGGGGAAAAAAAAAATAAAAAAAAATTACCTAAAAAATAAAAAAAAAATATAAACACAAAAAAAAAAAAAAAAAAAAACAAGGTCATCAAAAAAATCTGAAAAAAAAAATGTTATGGAGACAAATAAATTAAACAAGATTTGCCTGAGCATTACATCCGAATTACTTACCAAATTTGAAATAAAAATAAAATACGGAAAACAAATACTAATAATAAAAATAAATAAAAATAAAAAGAGAATTAAATTTAGTGAGTGCACGAACATGTTTTCGACACCTCCATCTTTGGCGATTTTTCTTTTTTTTTTTGGCATAGCTAAATACCCTGAAAATTTACAGATGTGTACTTCACATAGTACAAAACCCACTAAAAAGTTTCAAAAAATAATAAAATTGTTTAGACCCCGAACTAAAGTGAAAACAAAAAGTAAAAAGTGAAAAAATACGTGGGCGAGCACGTTTTGACACCGCAATCTTTGGCGATTTTTAATTCTTATTTGGCTTAGCCAAATGACTTGCAAATTTACAGGCACTTACCTCACGTCATAGAGAACTCACAAAACAAAACGCAGAAAAAACTACTTATTTTTAGGCCCCGAAATAATTTTTGGCGGGGGCCGAACGTCGTCGGGTTTGGACCCCGTACCGGACCACAAACGCCCGTACGTACGGAGGTCTGCCCGGGGACCTCCGTACGTACGGGCTGGTGACCCTGGCTATATACATATATATACATATATGAGTACAGGTGAAGGATATCTTGTCAAGTTTATGTTGATGATGTGAAATGTTGCCTTGATGATGATGACTGATCCTTGTACCTGTCATTGCTCCCTCTTTGTGTGCAGGCGTGACCCTTGAGGAGAAGTGGTCATGGCCCAAAGAGAAAGGATGACAGGTCCCTGTGGACCAACCTTGAGAAAAGGGAGGGCAGAGGAGGGATCAGAAAGTCTCAAGGAGCCTAAAAGAGCTACCAGTCTACAGGCCAGGGGATAATCTGCGTATATTCTTGAGGGACTTCGAGGATATGCCTTAAGAAGAGAGTGGGAGGACAAAACAAAGTTATCGATGGTGACTGGAAGTGGGGATTGCAAAAAAAAGATTGAAAAATTGGCAGCAGATTGTTTGATGTGGAAAACTTGCGTAGTCAAGCTATGACAGTTTTTTGGAACTTTTTCCAGGGATGAGATTGAGGATGATTTAACATTTGATGGGACAAACCTGAATGACTTTGTCGACAGCCTACAACTATCTGCAGAGAAAGGTGGCTGGAATGATGAGGAAAAAAAGAAGAGGTTGGTAGAAAGGACAGAGAAAAGTGAGAGTGAGGAAGTGAAAAGGATTGTGGAAGAGGCTTGCACTTGGTAGGGGATACTGATAAAGCTGCAGACTATGAAACCGCGCGTTCATTGAACGTGGGTTTTCCGTTCAGAAACTGAACGGAATAAACGCACCTGCAATGAACGTGACCGAACACGGAGTTCAACTCCGCGGGAAAAAAAAAAAAAAACTCAAACAATTCCGAAAAAAAACTATGTTATGAAGAAAACTAAAATAAACAACATTTGCCTGAGCATTAAATCCAAATTTGTTACCAAATTGAAAATAAAAATAGAAAACAGAAAATAGAAAAAAGTAAAAAGAGAATTGAAATTAGTGAGTGCGCGAGTACGTTTGTGACACCGCCATCTTTGGCGATTTTTTATTGTTTTTGGGCAGAGTCAAATGCCCTACAATTTTACAGATGTGTACTTCACATTATACAAAACTCATGAAAGAAGTGTAAAAAAATAATATATTGTTTTAAATGGTGAAATAAAGTGAAAACAGAAAATAAAAAGTAAAAAAATAAGTGCGCAAACACGATTTGACACCTCCATCTTTAGCGATTTTTTTTTTTTTTTTTTGCCTGAGCAAAATGACTCCAAAATTAACAGGCATGTACCCCACATCATAAAGAACTCATAAAAAMAAAATCAGAAAAAACAAATAATTTTTAGGTATCGAAAAAAAAATAAAAAAATTGAACGCCGTCCAATTTTGAACGCGAATTTAAATCCGCGTTCAAACGCACATTTGAACGCGAACGCGCGTTCACGGCGTTCAAATGGTTACATAGGCTGCAGATGGCATACACCCAGCTGAGGCAAGACCAGACTAAAAAGGAAATACTACAAGAGAAGGGGTTGTGGATTGGAAGAGAGAAAAATGAATTACAGAGAAATACTCAGGAAGAAGGGGACGAAGAAGAAATACCCTTGAGGAATTTGAGAAGCAAGCCTATGACTTTTCTCAAGGACAGGAAAAGAGGAGGGGATCAAGCAGTGGAAAAGGAGGAGAAGGTAAAGAAGGAGGCAACAATGGAGCAGGAGAAAGACCAAGGGGTGAGTGAGGCACCAAGGACAACGAGGACTGAAGTGAGAAAACCAGTTGAGGATGGCAGGAAAAGAGTTGAGATAAGAGGAAGAGAGAAGAAGGGGGGATCAAGAAAGGATATGGAAGTGGAAGAAGAAAAGGAGGAAGAGATAAGAGTGGAATGTGAAGGGTCATCCCAGAAAAAAGAGAAAGCAAAGGAAGGACAAATAAGCAAAGGGGAAAGAGCTCAAAGGGAAAAGTGGAAGAAAAGTGGAGAGACTATGTGATCAAGATGCTCCAACACGATGATCTGCCTGTGAACTCTTCTTGGGATGTAAGGTTTGAGAGGATGCTGCTCTCAGAGCTGGTGGTAAGTTTCAAGCACTCCACCAACATGCACAAATTGATGGGACTGCATGAGATGTTGGATGCGAAGTACACCAAACTTTTTGAGGAGTATGCGGAAGTGGCAAGGAAACTGGGGGAGATGGAGGGAGGAAGAGATGAGAAGGAGACTGACGAGGATTTGAGTGCGTTGGGAAAAGGGCTTCAGTCAGAGCTCAAAGAAAGTACTGAGCTCTTCACCCAAGGATTTTTGGATTATATCCCTGGGCTTTTGAGAGAAAGAAGCAGGTTGAGGAAAAAGGGGGAAGAAAGGGATGCCCAGGTAGCAAGTTTGACAGAGGGTTTGAAAGGGGTGAAGAAGGAAATGGAAGACTTGAAGAAAGGGAAGGAAGAATTGTTAAAACAGGTAAGTGCATTGGAGGTTTCCCTGGCCCAGAAGAGCAAGGAGTTGGAAGATGAAGTGGCAGAGAGGGAGAAGATAGAGAAGAAAGTTGAGGGTTTGTGTTCAGGAATCAGTAAGCAGGGGGAAGATTTAGAACAAGAGATTATAGAAAGGGAAAAGACGAGTCAGATGTGGGAAAAGAGATGGGATGAGATACTGAAAGGGATGGAAGAGCTCAAACTGAGCCACCAGGAGAAAGAGAAGAAGACCACAAGAGTGACAGCAAGAGAAAGGAAGGATCCTCTGTCAAGAAAGGAAGAGGAAAGGAAGGGTGAGCAGACTGAGGTTGGAAAGGGAATAACCTCCAGCAAGAGTCCACAAGAAGAGCCAAGGATTGAAGGGTCTCCTGCCTCAGAGGAAGAAAAAAGTAAATGTTTGGCTTTGCCTCGGCAGGGGGGCATCAAAAGGAATGGGCAACCCGGAGTGGAATCATCAGAAGGGGCTGGGAGTCAGACAGAGACTTAAGCCCGGCCTCACGAAAAGAAGGTCAGGTACAACAAGGCCAGAAGTAAGTGTTTCTTTTGCACAAAAGAAGGACACTCCAGGGACGACTATGCAGTGTTGGCAGAGTACATTAAGAAAGGGATGATCAGTTTTGACTCACAAGGAAGGTTGGGATGAATCACAAGTCTGACTCACTGTAACATACTTGTATTTATATATGTGTTCAAAGGGGGAATGAGTTGGTGACCACAAATACTTTTCACACTTGTGAGTGAATCTTTGTCTATGGTTTGAGTCTCTCTTTTGAGAATGAGTATCTCCTTTGTCTATCACTATGAACGGGCGGATCAGTGTCTATTGTACGATCCGATGGTGAATTGATTATATGCGCATGCTTGAAGAACCATACTACGATATGGGCAAACTCTTTTCAATGAGTAAAATTGTGGTGCAATCGTTTTGAATGAGATGTTTGTTTTGTCGGTTTTTGGACAAGCAAGGAGTCGATAAGCTTTGATTTCAACTCAAATATTGTTTGTTTTTTTTTTTTGTTTTTTTTTTTTAATGCAAAATGGCCCCGAGGTGAGTGCCTCACCGAGCTGTGATCAAAGACTTGGAGGGCACATCCCTGAATGACAACCTGACGATAGCTCAATTGGGTTTGAAAATATCATTTTATCTTGTCAATTTTAAGGAAGCATCGTTCATTCATCTCAAGGGTTAACCTGAGGGCATAAAATATCAAACCCATGGTTAAAAATTGACATCGTTGGGACGTAACTCCCAGCGTGGGCTGCTGACCTAGCATAACCAGGCAGCGGACCCTTCGACTATGGCCTAGAAGAGAGACTAAAGGGGATGAAGGGATTTATTCAGGTGGATGTCAGAGGGGTCGAGATTAGTCTTGAAAATTGTGAATATGTATTTTTCTTAAAAAGATAGAATGAACATCTCAGCGTTGCACAACCAACGAGGGTAACCACCATTAAACAACAACACGGTGGGTCGCAGCTCCAGCCTGATCAGCAGGACTGTGGTGGGTCAAAATGGAGACTGCTTGTCCTCCTGTATTAGGCGTCGGAAATGACAACTGACAACTTTGGACATTCGTACTAAAAATTGGACTAGCAAGGTCTCGGTTAGGACCCGCGTTTGAGGGGTTGAGTTCACATGCGAACACTAACCCTGAAGACAACCAACGATGACCTGGGTCAAAAGTCGAAGGGTGAGGGGAAGGAGAAAGCACTGTCACACTTGACGATTTCATGTACTGTAGTACAGATCGAGTATCCCCACCTCAAGTCATCGGATTTTCATTATGAGAGACCCGGGTTAAAATCCTGTCAGTAACAATGAAACGTGAAATGACGGTGTCAATCCTGAACCACACTTCATTCCACGGATTCGGATTTGACGAATTGTTTGTCGAAAAACGTCTTTGTTTGTATATAGTTCTCCAGCGACGGGGACGTCGCTTAATAGGGTCTGGAATATTGTCGGACCAAATAACCTTACAAGGGTATTTGGCCATGATTTTGCAGTCGACACGTCGATTGCACCGACCACCATGACGGAATCAGTCTGAACTTAAAATTTCGTATGAGCGCGCAACACTGTGGCGCACGCTGTGATGGTTAGAATCGATACTAATACCCTTCGACCAGGGTGGTCGAGGAGTTGATTAGGTTACTGTTATGTCGGGTACATCCACGACACGCAAATGCCAGCTTTGCCCGGCCTCAAGTATCCGGTGCATCTACCTCTACTTTGTGTGATACCGACCGACCCGCCGCTTGAGTGTTTTTACGCCATCGCAACCCTCGATGGTGCAGATGCAACTAAGTACCGGCCCTTCAGGCGTTCCGACCAACCAAAATGCCCTTGCAAGTGGCCCACGCACTCAAACCGACAAGCATTCAGACGAGCACGCAGGCCGACAAGTGTGCATACATGCAAAAATGGGCTCAAGCCGCGAGGTGGGCTGAGCCTCGATGTGTTACATATACATGAGCAGCTCCTTTTCTAACCAGAAAAGGAGCTAGCTCAATAGGTTTCGAGGTGGGTTATTAAGTATAAGATGTAGGAATCGAGCCCATCCAGCCTCAGGGCTAGCTCCTTTTGATAAGGAGCTCAATTTTGTTACCCCGTTTGGGCAAAGGCGGGACTCGAACCCCCGACCACGAGATTAAGATTAGTTGCAGTTAAACCCCGTGCGACAATTGACACGATGGGGTGGTGATTAGTTGCAGTTAAACCCCGTGCGACAATTGACATTAGTTAGATTCGTTTTTTTTTCCCACTCTCAATTTTTGCGGTGACTCGTTTCAATCCGGTTCGAAACCAGGGCGGGTTCATTCCAAAGTAGTTCGGATGAGAGTCTGGCCGGGGCGGCAAGCTACCGACCACGCAGGACGACGGGTGCCGAGGCTGCGGGAGGCTGGGCACAGTGACGAGAGGGGCACTTCGGGAAGGAAAAGCAGGAGGAGAAGGTGAGGAGAAGGAAGAAGAAGAAGGCGAAAAGAGAAAGGGGGAGGAGCGGACAAACACGCTAAAGCAAAGGTGATCTAGCAAGAGAAAGCGAGGCTTGAGCAAGATCGCTAGTCAGAAAGCAAGCTAGTAGGCGGGGTCGCGGGTAGGCGGCCACAAGCAGGAAAAACAGCACTCGATCGCGACTAAGGAGGAGGATGTGAAGGAAGAGATAGGAGAAAGGAGAAGTGTACGAAGGAGAAGAAGAAGAGCACGGTGTGGAGAAAAAAGAAGCGAGACGTGCAGGAAGAAGGAGAAGGAAGAAGGAGGAGAAGAAGAAGGAGGGAGAAGAAGAAGAAGAAAAAAGAGAAGAAGAGGAAGGAGGAGGAGAATAGTGTAGGGGTGGAAACGACTTACCTATCGTTCATTCCCGACCTTGGCGCCCTCATTCCATAGAGGGTGGTCGTGGCTTCGTAGTCATGAGCGGGGCGTGCCGTTAGAAGCGGAGGTGACGAGAGAGGACGAAGACGACTACTGTGACGACTAAGGAGCGAAAGAAAGAACAGGTAAGTCCCCGATCTCGCGACCTGGTCCGCGATGCTTCTACCTACAGAAGATGAGCAAGACCGAATGAATCTCCGTTACAACATGGAAAATATACTTGTCGTCCGCTGTCACACCTTTGCTCCCGCTCGACAACGCACTTGTCATCAATAAGTATGTGTGCGTGTGTGTGTATGGGTGTGTGAGAGGACTGCATTTCGTTAAGCTTGCCATTTCGTTGCGATTAGCTTAGCTGAATTTGGTTGTGTAGAACGACCAGATACATCAGTAGGGAATAGTGCCTGAATACGTACGCTAGCAGAGGTGAGGGCAAACTCTCATTAACATTGATTTTCATTAGTGTTATATTGGTGCAATGTTGCTTTCTGAACACAGTAAAACAATCTGGCTTTAACATTGTCATCTCGCCATTACTCGTTTTCTTTTATTATTATTATTATTATTATTATTATTATTTTGTTATTATTATTATTCAGTTCGTAATACTATTATAACAACCAAAGAGTGTGAAAGATGAGAGCACGAACTTGGTATTGGCGATGTTCTACTTTGGGCAACATCACCGAGTACTTGGGTGGCCGCTGAAGACAGACAACTACATTGATAACTAGTGGGCAGAGGGTAGATGTGTAGGGAGTAGAGTGGGAGCTGAACGCCAAAGTAGGGAGAAGGCCTGGACACATGTGTTGGTGGTGGCGAGATCAAGATCTCATTGACATATGGTTCAGTGTTACGATTCTCCAGTGGTGTTATATTGGTGCAATGATGCTTTCTGAGCACTGTATACGATTGTGCGATCTGAATATTGTTTATCAAACTATTGCTCATTTTCTTTGCATTTATTATTATTATTATTTTGTTATTATTATTATTATTACTATTATTTTTATTATATTATATTATTATTATTACTATCATTTTGTGCATAATATTATTATTGTTTTAATGACATGCTTGTAGCCTTGGTGGTAAGGGGATAAAAAAGAAGAATGGGAGAGAGAGCGAGGAGGGGAGAGAGAGGAGAGGAGAGGGAAAGAGAAGAAGGGAGAAAGAGAGAGTTCCTCTTCTTCCTCTTCTAAGTCCACCTTCTCACTACCTGACTTCTCAGTATCTGCAGACTACGGGAAAGAGAGAAACTCGTGTCTTTGAGACTTGACGACATTTGGAACCAGACTCGGCGTTGGGATTCAGACATTCGATGAGGGATTATTGGGACTTGTACCAAAGACTTGGTGTGGGCAACGTTCCCAACTCCCCTCTCCTTCTTCGTCTGATCCTCCCACTCTCCGTCTGTGTATGGTTGGACCTGGTGCACTCTTTTGTGTATGGCACCAGTCCTTTCCCAACTTGTAACGATGATGGTGAATGATGGGTCTGTAATACGACATTGGTTGGTTTGATCATTGATATCCTAGCATTTAGTTGCGCTACACTCCTACCGATCAACTGGTCTGAAGAAGGTGGCTAGGTCGCCGTAATCTCGGCGGTGCACAGTTAGGGTGTTGCGTAAAGCTCACTGAACCTTATCATATAGAAGGAGGAGAGAGTGCATGGGAGAAGAAGAATAAAGGGAGAAGAAGTGGAAGATAGAGGAAGACGAAAGGAGAAGTAGAAGGAAAACAGCCAGAGGAGGAAACGGGCAGGAACAGAGAAAACAGATAGAGAGAGAGAGACAGACGGACACAGACGAAACAAACAGGCACAATCGGACAAGCACGAATGCATAGTGGTACACAGAGAGACACAGTGAACACACACAACAGCTCCTGATGATTCCGTGAAAGTCCGAAGAAGCAGCCTGGCGCGGTCATGTTACTCCCTTTGTGAGAATCGTGAATGACGAACAGAGGGAAAATATGACATAAACAAAACAGACAGATATAGTCGGACAGTCAGACACTGGTGACAGACAGATAGACTAACAGACAGACAAAGACATATTGTGAGACACAAACAAAGTAATATGCACAGACACTGTAACATACTCAGTGATGTCTACAAAAGCGGCACATAGGTACAAGTGACAAAGACTCGAGGACACAAACACATGACATATGGTAGTAGAGATCCAATGGCACAGACGCAGGCACACAGTAACACACACATTTACGGTGACATAGACGTACAATGACGCGTGCACAGTAACACAGATACACAAGGGTACATACTCAGAGAGGCACATACTCAGGGACATAGAGAGAAGAAAGAAGGATGGGGTGAGAAGAGGATGACAAAGGAAAAGGGGATGATGTCACGAGGTGCGTAACTGGTCTTGACGATGGTCTGCATAGTCGATGTCATCATGTACTTTGGTTTCGCTGCTGAAGTTAGCAGTTGCATGATCTATTCGTGGGCTGGTAGTATCTGCGTGGCAATAGCCTGGGCGTCGAGCGCCGAGTAGGAGAAAAACTCTTGATACTCATATT